TGAAGCCTGAGGCCAAACCATAATCACAATGTTTTTGTGATACCCAAGCAAAAACCTGAATTCTTTCTTACACTCAATCTGCTATCTACCTGAGAAGAGAAGAGATCTACATCTATGGGGCTCAAGACCAGATGTTCCCATCTGGCAACTACAATTGCTATCATCCCTGTGCTAAGAATAATGGGACTGTAATCCAACACATCTGGAGGCTATTAGGTTGGATAAGGTTATTCTACATTGACAACTTTCAGAGCTTGATCTGGAAATCTGCAAAATATGGTTCAGGACAGGAATGACAAAATGATTAGTAGCTTCATTATACATCTGGAAGTTCCAAAATGTTGTAAATAGAATCTTTTTCAAGGGAAAATTCCATAAGGACTCATATTAACAATATATTTATAGATTATACAAACCGGTGACACAGGAATTAACATGGAGTGCTTAAACTGAATTTACCTTGCTATTGTTTTTACTGACACAAATGCCAACTAGCATCTCTGTGAAACAACATAGTACGCAAGGCCTTACATAGATACAAAACCACATTGCATTAAGTGGCTCACAAGTAATTATGCAGTCTTACTATTTAAAACTAATAAATTTCTTATTTTGAGATGGAAAAATGTAAGGCTGCATTCTAGCTGGGATCACTGAACCAAGTTTGAGATAACAACCTTTTGTTTAGAGGCATATACTGAACTGCACAATGTACATATGACTGCGCTGCAAGTAGGTAAATTGCAACCAGATATCTCTTAGTAGCTTCTTACCTTCATGAAGATCTCCAGTAAATTCACCAGCAGCCACTGAGTAACCTGTTTAAGAACAAACTCACAAAGATTAAACCTGACAAACAATTTATTTCTAAAGAGATAAGGATAGTCAGATCTATCCTCTTATCTATGCAAGGAAAAAAAACATAAATTAAAATATATAAGGCCAGTGAGTGGTAAATAATTTTTAATATCTTAGGATAAACATTGATTATACATCTCAGAAGCACAATACATCTACAGTAGTGTTTCTCAACCTTAGCAAATTTAAGATATATGGACTTCAACTCCCACAATCACTTAGCTCAGCTTGGCTGGGGAATTCTGAGAGTTGAAATCCACCCATTTTAAACTTGCCAAGGTTGAGAAAAACCAAATTACAGGAAATCTGCAGATTATAATGAATGTGATTTTTGAATTATGTATGCAGGTAGTCTTTACTTACTATCTGCCTCATTTATCAACCATTCAAAATTATGATAATGTTAAAAATAGCTTTGCAATCAATCCTCACATTTGTTATTGTCTCACACTCATATGATTACCATTTATCCATTGCAGATTTGCACATTTATGATTGTCCCATGGCCATATGATTGTCACTTGTGTGCTTAAACTAGTTTGAGATAGGCAGAGTTACTAGGGAAGGGGGAAACAAAATTGTATGTCTTGGTGTTTTCTTTAACAATCAAGGTGCTTGCTTAATAATCCAATAGGAAGGAAGGTTGTAATCCTATTGTTATTTGATTTTCTATTTAGTGAGCAGTTTCCAAATGTGAAAACCACTAGTACAAAAATATTCTAACAAAGTATTTGAATAATCACAATTTTAAATACATAAATTTATTGAACTGACAGTTTATTGTTGGAGAAAGAACAAGCAACAGTTCATGTTTTGCAGTCATATATTCATATCAAAAGTAGAACTGATAAAGCAACATTTTGATTTCTATTCATAACAAAGGACATAGCAATAGCAATAGCAGTTAGACTTATATACCGCTTCATAGGGCTTTCAGCCCTCTCTAAGCTGTTTACAGAGTCAGCATATTGNGGAGAAGGGCGGCATACAAATAAATTAAATCTGAATCTGAATCTTTTGAATTAAAAAAAAATACTTGTACTCATGCACTGCCCAGGAGAGCCTTATTTATTTTCTTTTAAGAAAAATGGCACTAAAAAAAGCACATGCTGGCCACCCACTGAAATTTTATGCAATTCTTTTGTATTCTACTGGGTAATTAGCAGCAGGAATTGTGGTCTAGCATCTGGAGGTGACAAGTATAAGCACTTAAAGCTTGTGTATGTTTACTAGGTATTTGATTTCAGCTCACATTAAATAAATACCGTTTCTGTGAATCTTGTGCATAAGCTATAACGGCTCTGACCCACAGGTACTGGTTCCTATTTAAATGAGTACTATTTTTCATTAACTTTATTAGCAATGCAATATGCTACTATTATAACAACAGTACTATACAACTTTTAATGTAAGGATTATATGTCCATGAGAGAACATATGCTTTAATTTCAAATTTTGGGTCTTGGACATTTTTGTCTGAGAAACAATGTGGTGTAGTGATTAAGGTGTTGGATATACTCCTGGGAGACTCTAAAATCCATGCTCAATCATAGATATTGATGGAATTGTTATTGTGGGAAGGAGAATCCTGTGCACATTGCCTTCAATACAAAGGTTGAAGGTGGGATAAAAATATAACAAATAGGAAATAAAGTTGTATGTTACTAATCTACAGCAGTGTTTTAAGTATCTTATTAATACAGGGTGGGAGTAGGGCAATTTTCAGCCTATGGACCATATGCTTTCTCTTAGGCCCCCTTCTATGCCTCTCAGTTCTTTAAGGAAATTCAGAGAAAAAGCACCAACCATGAGTGTTAACATTAATTTTATTGTAAGATTACGATAACAGACTTGTGTAAGCACAAATGTACCTCTCCCTTTTCTTACTTTTACTTTTTCCAAAACTAGAGAGCATCCCTTCTGAGACAGTTTCTCTACTCCTACCTCTCCTTCTGTCTCACATTTTGTTTATCAGAGCATTGTCTAGGCTGAAGCTCTTCCTTTTACTTCTCAAGGTCATTCCTCCATTACAGTGTCCCCTGACTATCCTCAAATTTGATTAAATATTTATTTATAGTATTTTGGCATTGTAATTCAATAATTCACATTGAAACTATGACTTAGTGGAGTGTGGGAGCCTAGCCAGATGTTTCTAACAACAGCACCTATCAGAATTGTGGGAGTTATAATCTAAAACATCTGGAGGGTGCCAGATTGTTTCCCTCTAATGCATACAATGTAACCAAACTTCCTAGGATTTTGAGAAATAAAATCCCATCTGGACCCATTCTCAGCTTTGAACAGTAAGTAGGTTAGTGATAGAAGGCCTCAAAATTATATTCTCCACATCCCAACATTTCTCAAAGCTATTAAAAGAAGCAGATCTTTTATCTCTCTCTCTTCTATACAACCCCCTCCAGTTATGGGGAATTTTTTTTTCCAGTCCAGATGTTTCTTTAAAAATTATTTGTTTTTGAAAGGTTGTCCAAGTCTGAGGAAATTGGGAATAAACTGATTGAATTGGGAACTAGTTATAGCGATAGAAATAAGTGAAAACAATTAATAATTGTTGAAAAATAATGTGATCTGCAGTGTTTGTGATGAGGAAAAGTTTCTTATTTTATTGGGAATGCATTAGTTTACATTGTAGCATTTTATAATTCAATATATATTCTTGCATTTTCTAAAGTTTTAAATCCTATACCTTAAAACATAAAACTTGAAATAAATCATATGTCACTTCAGAAATCAATCTAAACTCCATAACTGTATCCTTTTTTCAGCTACAAATAGTAAGCAATGTAGCTGTAATATAGGTCCTATTAAAATATTTTAACCAATTCTCCCTACACATCAACATAAACATTTTTAAGGTGGCAAACTAATACATCTGCTGGGAGAATGTAAAAGAATGCACTGAGCTTACTAACACGCTAAACTAAAATTCTGAAATAAATTAAACGGAAAATGTTTCAAACGGCATAAACTGCAAGGGAAAAATGCAGATGTTTGCCATGACAGTTGGCTATTCATGTACTATTCCAAATTTCAGAGGGGCCAGAACTATTTCACAAAATAGGTTGACACCAAAACCAGAATGTGTGGGTAAAGAAAAAACCCAAAGGTATCTCTATTTCATTTAATTCAATTAAATATGAATTAAATTAAATATTTGACTTAATTAAATATAATTTATAAGATTATAATGTGGTAAGATGAAGTTGAAAAAATATGAAGAGCTGGCTATTCCTCCAAGCGTTAAGTTCGGGCACAGCAAATATATGGCAAATTTTTAGGGGGTTACAGTTGTATTTAATATTTAGTATTAGCAAGTTTCCATTTTTATATTATTGCTGCTATAAGCGACATAGGTTTATTGTGTATATGATGGCCAATCACATGTCTTTTAAATAAAAAATATTTCTCCAAAAACTAATAATGTTGCAATTTTTATATGAAAAATTATACTTTGGGAAAAAAATGTAAAGTACTTGGGGACCACATCAAGACTTTAAAGACAATAATACATAGATTGTGGTCTTTGTTAGGGTTAGTTTATTGCAATCTATTATTGCAAAATAAAAATTTGACAGCAATAGAATTGTCACATAAGGAAAAGAAAGTGTCTATTTCTATTTTAAAATAGGATCCGCAAACTGGGGAAACAGAATAACTAGAATAAAATATAGTTAAAGAAAAATAACATATTATTTCCTTTTGGTTCAACAGACAATTTGTTTCATCATTTTAGTATGTAGATTAATAAATTTTGCTGGTATATATGAATATATGAATAGTTATTAATGTTAGGAGCTTTGGTATAGCAGACTAAAATAAAAAGGGTTGCATCAGAATTGATCCTATACAAATAAATTATAAATATTTTTCAAGTTAATTGGTTCTGGCTGGCCTAGAATACTCTCCTGGACTAAGCAAACAACTTAAGAATCCATACTATTGTTGTGAGGGAAAAAATGGGAGGAGGAATCCCATGAGTTTGTGAAAAATAGAGAGTGGAAATCCAATCAGTCAGTCAGTCACTCACTCACTCACTCACTCACTCATGCAAGGATGTTTTAAATCTAACCGAAAAGCATAGATTAAACAGAGTAGAATAATAAAATAATTTATTACTAGCTTACCCATCATTGTTAATGTCTGATACAGCAATAGTGTATCCAAAGTAAGATGCCATCTGTTAAAAAAAATGCCATTTTTAAAAAGTTTCAGCACATTTTCACTCCATGCCATCAAAATAATGATTTTGTTCTTGACTGTATATAGAGGAACATTTCCATATTATTATAAAAAAATTATGGGTGTATTCATAAAGTTACTAGTCAGCTATTGTATGTATGAAGTTATCTCTATGTTTTACCCTGTAACTTTTAATTGCTGTAATCCATATCTTGAAATACAGAATAATTGTGTAGAAGTAGCAAAACGTGTTACCTGCTTGCCGGTGAAATTCTGAATAAATGTTAGATCTGTGGAATTTATTATCGTAACCTGGAAATAAAAATGCTGTCAGACATTTCATAAAGAGTTATATTCCACAATCTATGTATCATTCTCCCTAAGGCCTTGATGTGATTCTCAAATACTTCATAATTTTCTTCCAAATTGTACTTTTTCATATGAAAACATTATTGGAATTTAGTTTAAAAAATCCCCCCCCCTTACAAAATTTGATGCATTGACATAGGAAGCCCTTAAAAGAATGTGGGTGATTGCAGGACTCAAACTGCATGATCAGGTCTAAGATCATGTTCTCAAACTAAGTCATGATGAACTATCCAATTCATTTCTTTTGGGAACTATAGTTCTAAGAATAACAAAGTTCTTATTCTCTGCATTTCTTTCAAAAAAAATGTAAAGCACGAAAAACTTCCACTTTTGGCTTTCATGGGAAACCACCCAGGGCCATTTATAGGCAATCCTTGTTTAGGTACCTTAATTGGGACTTTTTCATCAGTGTGAATGATTGCTAAACAAGGCAGTCATTAAACAAGGATTACCTGTATGGGGAGAGAAGCAAAAAATGCAAGATGGTAGCTAAACCTTGCAATCAAAGCTCTGCCCTTTTTAAACATGTTTTGTATGTTTGGTTGTATAAAAAAGGAATGGAGCTGATCACACAGTCCCAGCTTCTATCTTAACTTTTTGCAGCCCTACTCCAATACTGCTAGAATCACCTGAGAAAACTGTAAAAGTAAAGATTTCCTGTGTCGGACTATAGGGGGCAGTGCTCAGCTCTGTTTCTTAGGGAAACAGGGTTTTCTGAAACATCTCTATGGTTATATGACCAGCATGACTATATGCTGAGAGGCACAGAACCTTTCCATTGAAGTGGTACCTATTTATCTACTCATATTTACATGCTTTTGAACTGCTAAATAGGCAGAAGTTGGGGCATGTAATGGGAACTCACCCTGTTCCGTGATGCTCAACTTTTGAACTCAGACTGTCAGCTCTTCAGCTGACAAGCTCAGTATCTTTAACAGCAATAGCACTTAAATTTATATAGTGCTTTACAGCCCTCTCTAAGCAGTTTACAGAGTCAGCATATTGTCCACAACAATCTGGGTTCTCATTTTACTGACCTCGGAAGGGTGGAAGGCTGAGTCAACCTTGAGCTGGAGGTTAAAACTGCCAAATTGCTGGTAGCTGGCAGTCAGCAGAAGTAGACTGCCATACTGCATTGCAACCACTATGCCACTACAGCTCTTATCTTTAACCACTGAGCCATATTGCACCCCATAGACAAACTATACCACTCTAGAAAAATGTCCTGTTATCTTAGTTCATAGCATGCTAAATAGCAAAGCCAGGTTAGCAAATACATTTCCTTTCTTCTTCTAAGATGTGCTACTCAAATAATATTAGAGCTTAACTTGATGATTTGCTAAAACAGAGTTTTTGCAACACACTAAAATCCCAAGCACCCAACTCCATTTTACCCTCATTGACATGTCTGTAAATAAGGCTATTGTGTTATATAAACACCTATGTATCTGTAGGAGTAAATTAGATTATAACCTTTTGCACTCTTTGTAATATCTGCAACACAATTTAATTTCCCACTCTATTGTTATAAAAAAAATAAAAACTGTAAACCTTGACTGAAACTTTCCATAGGAAGGAAATGGAATAACTATTTTATAACTATTTATTTCTATATTTTGGAAATTTTATTTAATACTAACTGCTAAGGAGAAGGGATGAGGGAAAAGATATAAAATACTTGATGAACTACATACATAGCCAAAGTTCTGTGCACCTCTTGGAACTCCAGCTACCAGTTCTGAAAGAAATGAACAGTTAAATTAGCATAATATCTTTCTGTTACTCTGGATCTGCTGGCTATTCATTTTAATAATTTAAAGGGATGTAAGTAACATTTGGAGAGGAATATAACTATCATTAAATATAGTATTAATATTCATATGTATGTGGGCTGTTTGACAAAAACATTTTTAAAATCAAACTTCAAGAAATTCTAGGAACAACGTGCAAAATAGTAAATTTACAAGAGCACAAATTATAAAGATATATTCAAACATACAATTGCATATTTTCAGTTCAAATAATCTGGTATTTGATGGAGTATGTCCTTGCTTGCTGATGATGGTCAAACAATGGAGGGCTAGTAACTCTGAGTCTGATCGATCACTACTAAGAACCTTTATTAGGACTTATCTAGTGGCAATACGGGCGGCAAAATGTGCGCATTTTTCCGCTCTTATTGCGTCCGCGGAATCTTGCCCAGCCGCCCTGTTAGGGTAACCCGCTCCCTCCTGAAAGGTGAGGAGATAGGGGAACCCTTGCAGGGAAGAGCTGAGGAATTTGTTCAGTTTCTGTCGGATAAAATCACTCAGATTCAGACAGACCT